CGATCATCGCGATATTAGTTCATCGCCGTGTAAACGCCGCGATATTAACTATCGGTGAAAGATGGTGGATCGATAACAGGTTTCAACAGCTTCACCCCTTTTTCCCTTTTCTTTTTACGACAATAAAAATTCCTATGTCACTGTTCTACTAAATATGTATTTATGAAATGGAGATGTAAATTCGAATGGCCAAGGGAAAAAGAGAAAAATCACGGAAGTCAATTAACAAACAACAATTTCGTAAGGTCGAAAAGCAATCGACCTCGGTCTAATTGAAAACACGGTAGAATTTCTTCTCAACTCCTTTGCGTCTCGCGATCGAAATTGAATGAAATCGAATTTTTACGAGACTTTCATTGCTTGGAGAAAATATACGTGGTAAGTAAATTTTCGATTTAAGACGACAACAGAAATCTTGAAAATTAAAACTTGTCTGAAATTCTCGTTTCTGTATCCCGCCCGATTACGGTTGATCTCGTTACGTTAAATTTGTGTCACGGATTATCGTGACAAAATTGACGCACCGCGAATTTATCGCTGTTGGCAGATTTTTCGGTGTTAATAGCGACGGTAGCTCTTTCTTGACACGCGTTTCACCATCTGAAATTTAAGGGGTGAAATGGGTTTGAGGATGCCGGTGCCGCGGTGCGGATAATGCATTGCAGGCCGGAGCTGTCTGTCACGTCACGCGCAACACACCAAAGTCAGACACCGACGCTTTTCTGATTTACTAGCTAGCGGGTTTCCCAAGTTTGTCGACCGCGTTACTTACCTTACTTCGACGCGAAGCTATTCCTCGGTACGATCGTTCGTGATTCCCGTCTAATCGAAAATCATTGAAAATTAAAATTGAAAGTTCATCGATGAAAAGTATTAGATTAACCTTTTCACTGCACTTTCGGAGCGAACCATCAGTATAAACGGCGCGATATTCTATCTGTTAGGTGTTGCGACTGGTTGTCCACTGACTACTGACTAAAACAGTATCTGGACATTTGATACTATTCTTAGAGGTTGAAAGAATATACATAATTGCAAATAAATTAAAAATATCCAGTATTTGATCTATTTTAAGTGGTTTTCTAAGCTATTTTTAATTTGCTTAATTTGCACATTCCTTCAATAATAATTTGTGAAAAAAATACAAACTTCTTCCTCATCACTACTACTTATTTGTGGATGTTTTCTTTTCTTTCGGCCAAACATTCTTAGGGTGTACTATATTATTTAGAAACATATTGCGAATGGATAAAATTAAATAACTTATGACAAATTGTAATAAATAAACACTTACATGTGGATTAAAGGAACAGGTTAATGCCAGTCAATGCACGATGAGAATAGTACGTACGAGAGCAGTGGAATTAAACTGCAGAATGTGAAAACAATTGACTGAACAATATTGAAACAAATGCCGGTAGACCGTTGCTATGTTACATAGGTCGATAAATTCCATGTTGAAGCAATTGGTTACAGTGTTACAGTAAGAAAAACGTAAAGGGCGTATATTTACGGCATTCGTATATATTGATAGACGTGTGAGAGCGTATAGCAACGCCTTTCGTGTATATGGACCGACTTGTGAGGGCGTATATATATATACGCCTTTAGCAGTGAAAGGGCTCAGTGAGTGTCAACTGTCGATATAATATAATGCAAACTTGATACATAACATATAATACAATATAAATATACATAAATATAGTATAAAACGTGAATGAGAAAGAGGAAATAGAAATTCAGCAGCGAGAGAAGGCGTCAAATCAATAGCGTATCGTTCGTGGCTGCGATTCTATTAAAATTCCTGCAAGTAACTCGCCACCCCCTGGGGGGGTGTGGTGGAGGCAGAGCAATCGGAGAAATTACAGAACGAAAGGAGAAAGGGGAGAAACTCTGAACTGGCGCGAAAGAGATCGTGCCGGCCGCGCGGTCCGGCATTTCGAAGCTGACTGGGCGGTTTTTTTTAAATCGAAAACACGATGACTTTACGCTCGCGTTCCCGCCGCCATCGATCACACCTCCCCTCCCACCGAAGCAAATTGCTTTCGTACGAATTTTTTCCTCCCCCCTTTCGGTGCCGAAGTTCTTCCCAAGGTTGTCTCGAGCGACGAGTTCGCACGTACAAGGTCTCGTCCCGCCTTTCCTATTCACCTGCCCGCCTTTCCCGACCCTTCGGGAAACTTCTCCGGACGAAGCGGGAAGCCGACGCGAGAAGTCGGATTCCAAAGTACGGATTTGTTTTTCCACGTCGCTATTTACTTTTTCACGGCGGCGTGCACCAGATGAATGAGGACGGAAAAGCGCCTCGGAGGGTGAAGGCCCCTCTTCTTTTTATACTTTCTTTCCTTCTCTTCTTCTTCTTCTTCTTCTTCTTCTTCATCTTCTTCTTCTTCTTCTTTCTCCTTTTTCCTTTCTTTCAGCCCGCATCCTCCGTTCGACTCCGTGTTTTCCATCGAAGGCCAATGACGAATGGTTATTGGAATAAAGTTATGCGGCGCGCCGGCGCTAATGTTGCGAAACGTTTCGAAACTGGGTAAATTCGATTTATCCCAGCCACGACCAATGCTCTGTGCGCCATTCCGCTCGATACAGCCGGCACGCATTTTTCTTTTCACCCATGGTCAAATCTCGTTCGTAAATGTAACGGGGAACCGTTTCCCCAGCTGCGTCGTTTCATGGGAATTTTTGTTAATTTTGTCTCGTTAGTTCCGTCCTGCCGACCAAATTTTTATTATTTTTATATTTTAACGTCGCAGGCAAACTGACGTCTAGATGCAGAATCTAGACTCTAGCGATGCACGAGTGCGTCAATTATCGTATGAGGTTTATTTAATGTGTCACGCACGTCGAGAATATTTGCAATATTTTCTCAGTTTTAAGTATTATATATTGAAATATATAACCCAGGCAAAACAAATAATAAATTTATTACTTCTTAGTAATTTCCATCCAGTGATATACCGAAGTGAAGTGAATTCAAAAAGAAGACGAGTTATTGTACATACGGTTTGGTCACTCGTTATAATCCGTGAACCAGTTACTAACGCAAAAGGTTAAAAAGTAGATGTTGCATCTGTACGTAATAATCGAGTCAAAGTGACTTTTTTGTCGCGACTAATCGAGCAAAAGTAATTTCAATGCGTTACAGAATTTGCGTTTCTCTTAAAGTCGGTGAAACGTAGCGAAGAGCATAATTGAATACACGATGATGAAAAATTGCCGATATTTTGAATTATTATAACTTCGTAAAAGAGAATCGTACAAAAATCTACTTCGTAAAAGAGAATCGTACAAAAATCTACTTAGTAGAGTTGTATGATTTTTAAAGCGTAAAGCTTCTGCTTTGACTGTTCTAAGTTCGTTTTTCTAAAAGCTATTCTTGCATCATGTAGCGAGTGGAAAACCAACAGTACTCTTACTGTCGAAAATTCAAAATTCATCTCCGAAAGCATTGATACACTTCTTTTTTGACTTGATCCATCATGGTCTTGAAAATTAAAATTCCTTTATTTATAACGACCGTACGATTTTTCTTTCGTCATTTTATTTGAATATTAGGATCAGATGAGATTAGGATCTCTTGAATTTCTTAAATTTTTATTGTTCAATGATCAAAGTTCAATAAAATGACGGAAAAGAAATCGAACAGCAAATTTTAAGGGATCAATGAAGAGGAGAAATTTCAATTTTCAACACCACGATAGATTTAGTCGTGAATAAAATTTATCACTATGTGTGAATTTTTACAATTCTTTCTAAAGAAAAGAGCACTTTTTCATTTGCTACATGAAAAAAATTTAGAATGACCGACCGAAATTGAAACTTCACGATTTAAAATGAAACCAAAAATGGATTACACGATGTCTTTTATAAAGTTACAACAATTTTTCATTTTAAATAATCGCGAAACAATCTGCTAGAATAGCTTTGGTAATTAACACTTTCGTGGTAAAATTTTTGTCGGAAAGCTAAAACATTTTACAAGACCCTGCATACTTTACTCGTTTGATACTTTATATACAAACACTCGATGAAATATCATTCGCGTTAAGAAATTACACGTGTGTGTTCAGTTTCGCTCATCATTTCGTTGCCTGCCCGTGCTGGAGTGTGTTCATGTATGCAAAGGAGCGAGTCCCGAAACTCAGAGTTATCGTTTCCAATTTCTGGCTCAGAGTTTGTTCGTTGCGAGTGATTCGTCGAATCCTTAGGAAACGGCTCGGCGAACGTGGTGGAAAATTAAACAAGCCTACGGAGCCGTTTCCGAGCACGAATCCGAACCATCAGCCTCCCGGAGCTTCGATCGTTCCGCGTTCCCGTTTTTTCCTCGTTGATCCCGAGGAACGCGCCGTCCCGGTCATATAAACGATTCGGTTTAACCGCCGCTGGAATCTCCGGAGGGAAACCGGGATTGTACTCGCTGAACTAGGGAGAAAAAAAAGAAAAAAAAAAAAGAAAGAAGAGAAAACTTGCGAAGGAGAGAGCCCTCGTTACCTCGGCTCCTTTATTATATGCGCATGCACGTGTATTTTTTTTCTTTTTTTTTTTTTCTTTTTTCCGTTCGATAACCCCGGGACTGGCCGGAGGATCGTACTTCAAAGAAGGAAATCCTAATAAAACGGAAACGAAGAAAGTTAGGGACCGGATAGAGAGGAAAATACACAGGAAGGAGATTGGTAGAGGGTGGCCTCTCTCTCTCTCTCTCTCTCTCTCTCTCTTCCTTTTCGATGCTCATAGAAATTCCGCGTGGCGTTTGCGCGCAGTTCCTTCCGTCCGGGCCAGAACGCCCGTAAGCAAAGTGCCACACGCCTCGTACACAGCCATACATAACCGTGGCTAGATAAGGCGAGCCAGCAGTTCAGCGCCGAGTAATGTATCTCGCAGACGTACGGAATGAAAATTTACGCCCGGAGCTTTCGGCTATCGCCGCGCGCGTTTAATGCGAATTATTGTCACGCCAACGATCTTGCGTAATTCTCGTTCTCTCTCGTCTGTTTCAGGGACAAGGTGTTCAGGCTGAATCTGAGCAACATCAGTCATTCCAACTGCGAGGTGAGTGATTTACAGACTTTTGACAGTGAGACGTAATCGACGATAGCCTTCGTCATTGAACGAGAGTTTCTCCGTCGAAGTGAAAGTAACCGGAGTCATGGTTTCAACGTCGAAGTGTGATTTATTATGAACGCGAATCAGGCAAGACTGCGTTGCATTGCAAACAAAAGTTATATAAACGTACAGTCTCGGTTATTTGAACGCTCGATCAAATCAAAACTCGACTTTTGGTTCATTTTGTTTATTTGTTTGTACTTATTCTCCTTATTTTTTTTTTTTTTTTGGCAGGTTTTATATTTTTCGTAGCTGCACTTATGGTTTTAATTGTTAATGTTAGGACATTTAACTGGGATATTTTAATTCATTCAGTGTTTTTGAATTTATTCAATTTTAAAATAAAACAGTTTGAAAATAAATGCAAGCAGGATCAATATTCGTAGTTTTCAATGTACGTATGTTTTTGTAACAATAGAAAGTCCAACCTGATTAATTTCTTTTTCTAGAAAAATTACATTACAATCGCATATATTCTAGTATCTAGTTATAAATTCCTAGTTTAAGATTTAGAGTTAGACTAAATTTGCTTGGCTTCGCTTTCGAGTGATTTGAAATTTTGCGTGAATTTACAGTCTCTTAAAATAATAATCTCGACTTTGGGAGTGTACATTTTCGAAAATATTACGGATCATAGTGCAGAAATATGATCCTCGTTTCCATCTAGAAACGGTTTATCGCTGGTAGTGTAATTGACAATTTCCGGTAATTTTATATGATATTAAAGTTTCTGATCATAGTGTCTAATAACTTTACGTCAGTTTCAAAAGTTTCAAAGATGGAACAAGGTAAGCTCCGAGTGAAAACTTTAAAGTACTCTCTCACGGTGATAAAGTACTATCTGTTGCCGCTATAAAAATGAAAGGCCCGCGTGAAAAAAATTTTCCTTTCACAAAGGAAAACGATTCGATCCCGGCTGCGAACGTGACGATTAAATGCCGCGAATAATTAAGATCGAATCATTGCACGCGCGGCTGTCTTAAAATGCGGAACAATATGATGAATTTCATATAATCGTCCGTAATGGCGCCTTAACAGATCACGTATCGAAATGATGGATCTCGTGAAACACACAGGTAATTAATTACACTTTGCATTTGCTCGAAATCAATAATGGGACTGCGAAAATTCATCTCGTAACACGTACACGCAGCGAAACAGCAACGACCATGCTTCTGCTTCTTTAATCACGTTCGTGAAAAAAAATTACATTTCTCCGCGACCGATAATAACGAATCGATCAAAAGCAATTTGACGCTTAATCGCTCTTCGAGACGCACACGCGCGCTCGTCAAAAATTCATGGGTCGAAACAGCGCGCCACCGTTCCCGTTCCGTTCAAACAAACAGAATATCAACTTCGTTTTCATAAAACTCTCCGCCCCTCTGCTCGCGCTGGCGGCGATTTCACGTCCCCGTTGTTGTCCGTTGCCGGCGCACGCAGCTGGCAGCGAAACACGGCACAAAAGTAGTAATTTACATTTATAACCTGCATCCGGCTGCAATTCAAGCCGGTGGCGGCGGCTCGCTCGATCTACGCGCGGGATCTCGCAGGACGACTCATCTTCGCTTGCCTTGATTCTACGAATCCTTGATTCGAGAGGTGGCCAACGATACTGTCGTAGCATCACGCTTCGATTAGCATCAAACGTCGCGTAACGCTTGACCCTCTCCCCCCGTTTGTGCGCCACGATAAAAAAAAAACTCCGTTCCGCTCGTAAATTCCGAGAGTAAAAAAAAAAAAAAAAAAAAAAAAAACCCCGCTGGTCTTCGTCGTTGCCCATAAAACTGTCAATCATGCCGGGCCGAAACGTCGCCTACATCATCGTGACAGCTGACGACTCTCTGCTCGCCTCTAAGCGATCCATTGTAGACGAACGGCACCGCGCGGCGTGTCCCGATTTTTTTCTCTCCCTTTTTTCTTTCTCCGTCGCGCTTCTTTCTTCCATTTCGCCTGGATGCACCGGCGCGCACTCGAACATGTCGAACAATCGATGTCGGCTTAATGCACGCAGACGGAAAAAAAATGGACCCAGCGATGAAGTTCCATATTTCGCGGATCTCCTTTTTCGCCAGCGAAAACGGGGGAGAGGTGGTGATATTTTCAGTTCACGGATCTTTTCGGCTGGGTTTGGTTTTACCGTGTTCTTCTTACGATGAACGGCACGTTTTCCCTGCAGGAAGGAAATAGAGTTTTCACACCGTTTGAACGAGAAGCGTTCAAAAGAGGGAATCAGGTATTTTAATATTCCGATGACGAATTGTTTTTGGACAAAGGCTTCGAGTTTAATTTTATCTTGGATGAAACGTAAAGCCTTGGTACAATTTTGATTCTTACTGCTCTCAGAATTAATAACGCATACACACCAACGAAATTTTTCAGTTCTTTTCTTTCTTAATCTTCGCGTTTGTAAATCTTTGCAGTAGATTTAACCACGTTGCGCTGGCAACTGATTGCGGACCGTAACGAGTGACCAAATCGTCTACAGTAATTCGTCGCTTTCTTTTCCTTTTGAGCTCGTCGGTATGATATCACTGGATAAAAATTATTGACAAGTAATAAAATTGCCTGGGTTGCACTTAAATATAACTTAAAATTGAGATGTATACTTAAAATTAGAGAAAAATCCAGCGCAAGAGGTTAAATATTATTAATGTGAAAGCCATCTGTACATACATCGTTAAAACCGCTTCCAAGCTCATTTTCCACGGACTTTCCAGCCAGAGGCAGAACTTCAATTTCTCAAGACAGAACAAAAAACCATAGAAACACACGCACTATGCATGCCAAGTGTGCGGGAGAGTGGCATAATTGCGCCGCAATCCTCTTTATACGCCACTTTGAGCCGCGTCCACGCGTTCGTTTAGCATCTCGCTCGAACTGCACCTGGTTTAATTTTTCGCGCGCTCAGGTGCATTTTCTGTCGAGAGGCGGCCACGCTGCCGATACGAGCGTTGTTGGTTCGTTCGCGAAGATTGAATCGGAATTGCTTTGTCGAAACCGACGTCGACCGACGTCGGCGTAACCGTGGTCACCTGCAGTCCGATTGTTCGACACCAGCGGGCAAGGAGAATTGCTTTTTAACCCTGTCGAACGATCGCAAGTCTCGAGACTCGGCCGACCGATTTTCCTCTGTGCTGCTGTTGCTGCCAGGCTTTTTCTCCCGAAAAGGCCGAAATCCGATCTGCGGAGGATCCAGTCCTTTTTCTCTTCTTTCTCTGCCTGTTACGCGAAACGAGCTTCCATCGAAATTGCCATTAACCTTCATTCCGTCCTTTCTTTCGCTCTTCTTCACAGCTTTGTGTCGCCCTTTTGTCTCGCGATCGGCTTCGCCTCCCTGCCTACCGTCAGCTGGCTGGCTATCTCCGACGGCCAACCGATCTCACTTTCGATTCCCGTTTCGTTTCGTCCAGCAGGCTAATCTCACGACGAACCGACCAATCTTTTCAAACGACGTTTCACGTTGGATTGTCACGGATATTGAAGGGTTTAATGGGGTATAGAATTTGGTACTCTCGGAAGATTCGTTTCTAATAAGAAGATTTAACGAAAGCTTTTTCGAGCCCACGTGGTTTGGAATAAATAGTTTATTAATATTTAAGGGGGCAGGACAGTTTGACTGAGCCTAGAAATTACGAATACTTTGGAGGACTAGTAAAACAAAAAGTATATATTTGATTGACATGAGCTTTTCTGGTTTATTTTAACACATTATGAACTATAAAAAGCAACATTAAAAAAGAAAAGAAAGGGCTCTTATTTAACTTTTTTAATTGCCTATCAGTGTGCATGATTGCAGCCAAACAGGATTGCAACAAAAAAAGGCGAAAAAGTTCGAAAGTAAACAATATTCTGAAATTATAAAAATAACAGCTATTTGTTTTTTGATGTATCGAATTTACGCCAAAAATTTCTACGTTTTTTGTTTATATTTATCCAAATTGTTAAAAATTAAAAAACATTCGATCGTCAATCCCTAGTAAATGTTATACTAAAGATACGCATCAAGCTTCGCAGTAATCGGTTGGCTAGATTCCGAGATATCTTGCACACCGTTTCTAAAAACTTAGTTTCGAGAAAAACGCGTTTAAAGTTCCAGAACGTCATTTTTCATATGTATCCTTTACTTACTTTTTTTACTTATATAAGGCGGCTCGCAGTTCTTACAATACACAACTAAATTGAATTCAAGTCCCCTAATATTCGATTCGCCAAAAGTAATATTTGAATCACACGATTTACACTTTATAATATACTGCTTAAAGTTGTAAACAGTGATACAAATTCAATTATTCTGTATCCGTGGCGGATTTATTATTACACCCTAAAATAAGTCGTTTTAAAGGCTAGGACTTTTTCTATCTTATTTCTAAGACTTCAAATTACTATTCAAAATAAAACAAAACAAAAAAAAAAATCGATTTTTTGAATATTTCAAACTGTCCCGATCCCTTAAGTAATTAAAAGGAAAACTAAGATGCGAAATTAGACGATGATAAAGAGATATTAACTCTAATATCACGACTCGCTTCTTTTACAAGAGCTATACATTCTCACGACTCGCTACTCTCTATCCAAAATCTTATCCTTAAATTCTGGTTTATCGCGGACGACGTATCGCGTTTCCCAAATGTGAGCGTCGTAAAATAATATTGGGTAATATTTATGTACGGGTGTCGATAAACGATGACGGAAGATTTCAAATGTAGAAAAAAAAAAAAAAAAAAAAACAGAAAGAAAAAAACGATGTTTCGTGGGACTCGGTATTCAAGAGTTATGAATAATTTTATTTCACATGCAGCCAGAGTGAGAGAAACACACGCGCGCATGCGAGTGGCACACATTCCGTCAGGTTCTGCTGCAGATGGAGTTTAATTGGATTTATGCGGGGGATAGAAAGATTCATAAATTTTTGGAACGATCGCCAACGTCAAAGCTAGACAAAT